GAGAGAGAGAGAGGGAGAGAGAGAGAGAGAGAGAGAGAGAGGGAGGAAAAAACAAAAAAAAAAAAGGAAAGAGGGCGAGCAGTAGCAGGCGCGCGCAATATCCACGCACTCACTAGGATGCGTACCCCCTGGGAGAAACACAATGTAGCCGATGTTGGCATCCTCGCGAAGAGCCCCTCCTTTCCGTAAACGCCGGTGAACGCCCTGGAATGTTCGACTGGCCTCGCCCCGCCCATAATTGTCGCAAGATAACGGGGTGCTATCGGGGCCCAGGGCGGCGTCGATCAGTTAGTTCTTTTCCAGCATTTCTCTACGGGGGGCCGAGGGGGATCTACCTGCGACTGCCCGCGTCAGCGGCATGCACGAAAGGGCGATCACGCCCCCCCCCCCCCCCCCCCGAACAGGCTTCGCGTCGTGGGCCCCCCTTTTCATGCAGCAAGAGAAGCAGCGCCCGAAGTTGCATCGGGCGCCCCCTGGATATCGGGGCCAGCCGCGCGCGCGAAGAAAGCGAGCGTCTGTCTGCCCGTGCAGCGCGCAAGCGTTGAAGCTTATCCTCTTGCTGATTCCTGAAACGCAACGTTTAACATGCCATTGTTATGCATCTCTCGGTTGCCTGGGCACGCGCGCGAGCAAGCGTCGCACGCCGCGTAGCGAATGCAACCCAGCCACGTCAGCCCATGCAATATCATCGGGCCTGAGCCGTTGAAACTCAGGAACCGTACTCCCTGGACTATATATCTACTTTGGTTTTGGTTGCTCATTTCCCTAGCTGCAGCTGCATTCAGAAAAAGAGGCGAACGGCATCTCAACTTTCCCCCTGGAGCACGCGTGTGTCACGGCGACGCCCGTGCGAAAGTTAGATGCGGATATGCTCCAAACATGCGTGCGTTTGGATGCGATTGCTCGTTTTCTGAAAATGGATGGACGCGGGGGATTTGTTTTGTCATGAGGATGCGGGGCCGTCTTTAGATGCGAATATACATGTTTATGCGTGCTTTGATGCGGCTCAATTTGGCGCCCATCGCTGGCGGCAGCTCTAACAAACGCAAATACGAACACATGCGGTGCCATGTCTTCGCTGCCATGCCTGGGCCGCTCAGTGACCGCGAGCAGAGGGGGCAATGCGCTGCCGGTCGCGACGACGGCTACGAAGTGGAAGAAGAGGATGAGGAAGCGAAGTGGGAATTCATTGTGAAACGACGAGGTAAAGAGGGGGCGGAGGGCGAGCCGAACGGTCGCGGCGACGTGGGGGACGACGCAGAGGAACCATGCTCCTCCATTACTTCTCTACTTCATCCATGCCCTAACACCCGGTCCTCCAAGTCCTCCTCCTGACGCCCGATCCTACTCCACCTCGCCCTTCTGGCCTCCTCGCCGCGCCCTCGCCCCTCCTCGCCCGCGCTCGTCGTCGGAATCGCTCCCCACCGTGCCTCCGCGCCATGTTCTCACGCGCCCGCATCGATGCATGCCCCCCCCCCCCGCGCGCCCCGTTCGCCCTCGCACTTCGTCTCCTCCCCCCGCCCCCCCGCGCTCTCCGCGCGTTCGCCCTCAGCAGTCCCGCGTCGCGTTTTACTCCCCGCGTTCGTCCACCTCCTCGGCGCCCCCCCCACGACGGTCGCCCCTGCGATCTCCCTCGCCGCCCCCGTTGCCGCCGTCGCGATTGCCCCTCGAGTCCTTTGCGCGCGCCCGCGGACGACCATTCTCGCGCCCCGCTCCTCTTGGATCATCATCGCCCGCCCTCCTCGGAGCTCATTGCCAATCTTCCCCCCGCCTTGCCCACGCCGCCCCCCGCCCCCCCTCGCTGTCGATTTGACGCGTCGTCCTCGTCCTCGCCCTCCGCCCCTTCCCCCCCTTTGCCCCCCCCTCCTGCGGTCCCCTGTTCTTTCCCAGATCTCTGTTCAATCTCGTTTCATCGACGTTATCCATCCCACTCGTCGCCGTCGTTGTCGCCGCAGCTCGTCTCGTCACTCCTCATCGCCACGGCCCCCCACCACCCCCATCCCATTGCCCATTGCTTCGGCGAGCATCATAGATCCTGTTCGCTCCGAGAGCACAGCCAACAGCATCCTTTCTGACAGTGTTCAACGCGAATATATATGGAGCGGCTATGACATTCTGTGAACCATAGATACGGACAGGTATACTTTCTTGAATGCAAGCGGCTGCGGCGTCAATGGTTTGGGCATGCTGTAAACGCGCATGCGCTCGGACACGGCGGCGCCCCCGCGCAGGCGGGGGGGCGCGCGTCTAAAATGCTCGCGCGCGTCGCCGTCGCTGCAAAAAACAAGAAAACTATGCAATCGGCTTCTCGCCTGCGCCAGGGCGCGATCGCATCGAGACGCGCGCGCTACGTTTAGGTGCGCCTGGCAGGGCTGCGAGCCTCGCCGACCAGCCGAGAGTTCGACGGCCCCGTGGCGCGCGCGACGGCGAAGCACCAGCTGACCTTCTTATCAGGAGCCTCTGGGCCCATGAAAGACAGACCTGCTCTTTGATCTGCTGGGGCGCGCAACGCGTCGCGCCCTTCAGAAAGCGCTGCTCGCCGCGCAGATGCCGGAGGGAAGTGGGCCCATCGCGGTCGCATTCACATTCTGGACAGAAGCAAGCTTGCCAACCACCCGAAACGGAATGCTGCGAGCAACCTGATCACCAGCAGGCCGACCGGGTCGACGTTGCATATACAACGGGGCGCGATCACTGGGCCCGCGCACTGAGGTTGCTTTCCATTACACGCCAGAAAACGGGCGCCAATCGCGCTCAGTGCCTGTGAGGGCAGACACATAAATCTGATCAATCGGCGCTGCTGATGCAATGCCGCTGTCCTGCACGTTGCGATGATTAGGGTTGTTCGGGTGAGTCTCCATCGAAAGTCCTGGGATTCTGCCCAGGTAGATGCCCGACGAATCACACTTGTGCACGCGGCCAGTATCGAGTGCAGCAACGAGCGCCGCCTGGCGACACGCGCGCGAAATAACCAGCAACGGGGAACAGCCAACGATCTGAGAGGGGCACGTGGCGCGCAAGATTGGAGAGGGTAAGCTCCTGGAGCTTCATCGCGTACTTCGGCGGAGCGCCCGCGTGGCGCGCGTGCAACCCGCCCTCGACGCCGCGAAGCATCGAGACATATTGGCCGTCCAGCTGAAAGATTTGAATTCAATACCTGAAAAGTCTGCCAAAACATGTGCGAGCCATGGTGGCAGCGCCGCCGCTGCGGGCAGGTGGGCGGCTGCCAAAATACTCGAACATGGGGAAGTCACTGTGGAGAGAGGAAATGTCGCCGCAGTGCCCATGCATCTCCTGGAGGAAAACGCACGTAGCATCACGAGTTCACCGCCGACAGCCAGAAAGAGAAGTCTGGATATTCCAGGCGATGATTTTACACCGCTGCTCGACCACATATTGCCGTGCATGCGCGTCTTGACCGGGGCAGTCAAACTCTGCAGCAATATCGCCCGTGGTTGAACATATGGAAGAGGTCGAGGAAAAAGACGATGTGCACGAAAACAATGTCCCAAACCGTCGGGGCCACAAAATCGGGATGTCCTCGTCCATGAGACGGGCTCGCCGCATAGCGAGGGGAAGCGAGGTTGGCGATGAGCGCCGTGATAAGTTTGATGTCCATGCCGGTGGTCTGGATGTCTGGGACGTTCGGTGCCACGACATATCGGCCCAAGGAATCAACCTCAGCCTTCAGCACAAGATAAGCCTCCTCATTTTTTAATGCGGAATCCACTGCCAGGCGTTCCCATCTCTTGCGTTCATATGTTCTTCTCATTTAAAAATTTGTTGATCGGGTCGGGTCGTAATATTTAGAAAGGGCGCGCTGGCGCACTCGCGCATCCTCTGGAAGGTCCTGCCTGGCCCTGATTGGGACTTGCACCTACGACCGAGGGTCAGTCCATGCAGCTGCACTCCGATTGAATATGGTGGGGAATTCCTTAGCAGCCTCAGAGTTTCCGAACTTACGCATGTACCCCTGGCTGGCTGGGCGGCAATATCGTTGTGCCCTTTCTCCCGTTGAGCACGTAACACTGGACGAGGCCAGCCATTCATCCAAACCTTCGTGTCACCAGAAAAAACCGCTCCATCAGCAGCAACCGAGGGCAAACCAGAAGACAGTAGACGCAGCTTGAACCCACCAGCAGATACCGACGAAGGCACACCAGTAGAGGTTCCTGCCAACGCCTGCTTGTTTTCCACGGTAAACATCCGAGCCTCAAGTGCCGCAGTGCGATTGCCGATCGTGATCGCAACCTCGTTCTTGGCATCCCCTTTAAACCGTGGGGGCTATACTTCATCTCTGTGACCTGTCCCGTGAGTCTAGAACGCGGAAATAAGATTTCTCAACGCCTCAAGACTTGTAGTCGCTTCCGTCGCCATCGCTGGGGCAACAAGACGGATCAGAAAAGGGTTGTCCGCCTGAGATTGACCTTGGGATCGCCTCGTCATGAAAGGCTGCCGCACTCAAATGGGACCTGTCCCCACATTGAGCCCCAATGGCGACGGACGATGCTGATGATGGTGATGACGAGAATGAATATGGTGATGATGATGGTGATGATGGTGATGATGATGGCGACGACGAAGATGACGATTCCGATGATGACGACGACGACGACGACCACGACGGTGGCGGCGGCAGCGGCGACAGCAGCGGCGGCGGCGGCAGCGGCGACCGCGACGACGACGACGATGATGACGCAGCTTAGAAAGCGGGATCCCGGGATGTCTTGCCATCTCAGTGCAAGGGGAGGGGGAAGGGGAGAGACGAGGTGATGAGGGGGGCAGGCAGGGCGGGGCATGGCGTGGAACCGCCTGGACTGCCGCCGAGGCTGCTTCGAACACTGGCCCCTCAGGCCGCCCGCGGGAAAGCCGCGCGTGGTGCGCGATCTCACGCGGCACGACTGGCAGCGAGCTCCCTCAGACACCACACGGTGCCCACCATGCCCGCAAGGCTTGTGCAGAGGCCGCCCAGAGATCCCCCCCAGCGCGGGGGCGCGGTCCTGGATCTCGGGGGGCGGCAGCCTGGACTTCAGGTGGTAGATGCGCCCCGTCTGCAGCGGCGGCCGCGGCGTTTCCCCCCTCGCCCCTTCTCCGCCCCGCCGCTCGCCCCTCGTTTCGCCCCGGCGCGCAGCACCGAGCGAGCGAAGGAGGGCAGGCGATCCTGGTCCTCCTCCTCGCTGTCCTCCTCCTCCTCCTCCTCCTCCTCCTCCAACTCCTCCTCCTGCTCCTCCTCCTCGTCCTCCTCCTCCTCGTCCTCCTCCTCCTCGTCCTCCTCCTTCTCCTTCTCCTCCTCCTCCTCCTCCTCCTCTCGAGGGGGGCACCTGTGCCACTGGGATCCCTCCCTAGGAAAACAGGCGGGTAGCCTCCCGTTCGTCACCCCAGGTGCTCCTTCGGGACCCTGGGGGAGAGAAAAAAGGTAGTCGTAGGCCGTCCCAGCCTGCGCCACGTGGGAAGGGTCGCGCCTGGGGTCTCGGGGCTGTGCCCGACTCGTCCTTGTGGCGGGCGGGGGCAGTCCAGGGCTTCAGTGCGCGGCTTTTCCTTCCGTATTCCGTGCCTGGGTTGTGGGTCTTCCACGTTTTGCTGCGACACCCTTGCGTGGCCCTCCCAGTACTCCGCTGGGGCAAGGGTGGTGTCGCGGGTCCCCTTATGCGGGGGGGGGGCTCATCGGAGGATCAACGGCCGTTCTTCCCACGGTCACGGTCCCCCGCCGTGGCGTGCGTGGGGGCGGGCTGTCCCCGAGGGAGTGGTGCCCCTCGGGTGGCTGATCGGGGCGGCACGCGCGGCGTGCCGTTATCTCAGGCCTCGAAATGTCAGAACAAGCTTGTAGAGCGGTTTACCGGCTTAGCTGCTGCGCGCCCCTGGCGCGCGTATCGGGTACGTCTCTCGCCCTTTGCGCGCGTCTGCCGCGCCTCGCGGCGCTGCTGCCTCTAGTGGCGCGCGTCGCCTTTTTGTGCGTGTCGCCGACTCCAACCGTGATGGTCCTCACGGTTGGCCTAGGGCGGCGGGGGCATTGACTCGTCCGCTTCTGGGTTGCTCCACTCCACTCCGCTCCTCCTCTCGAGGGGGACGGGGGACACGCGCGTCACCCCCCCCCATCAGTCTCTCCTCCTCTTCCTCCGCCTGCTGTTCCTCCTGTTCCTGCTCCTATTCCTCCTCCTCCTCCTCGTCTTCCTCATCCTCCTCATCCTGTTCCTCCTCGTCCACTTTGTAGGCAATGGGGCCCGAGGCGTTCCTTTCGGTACAGCCCGACAGCCCCGACCCCAGCCCCAGGCCCGCGCGCGGCCTGGCGCGACACTGCATTGGGATCAGCGGCAGTCCCTACGGCGGTGCGCTTCTTGAGAATGCTGGTGCTTGTGGCTTGCAGTGATGGTTTCTTGCGGGATATTGGTGATATACGTGAGCAAGTAGACTTCGTTCTGCAGCACGCCCGCAAGGTTCGGCAGCAGTATTTGATCGCGGTCGCCAGCCTGACACCGTCGCCTGCGGAGAACGAGATCACAGGCCATGAATCTCTAACGAGCACAATAGGCACGAACAATTCTTCACGAGCATCACGGATCGCGGGCGCCGATTGAGGGCACGGCTCGAGAACGATGGAAGGATGACGGCGGTGGCAAGGGCCCTCGTTGGGCTTGTGCTGCTACTAGGCAGTGTGGGTCGTCGTCGTCCTCGTCGTCGTCGTCGTCCCCCTTTAAGGTCGGCCGCACCAGCCGTAAGGCCTTCGTAATAAAAGGCTAGCCATTCGAGAGGAGAAAGAATGGTCTTCCAAGGCTCCAGGTGACATACTGCGACGGGCCCCTGATCGGCAAGCAATCAAGACGAAAGAAGCCGAGGCGCTGCAGGCCCAAGGTGAGTGTCTCACCGCAGTCCTTGACAGCAAGACGATTGAGCTCATGGCAGCACGTCCCGAACTCGAGGCCACCCAATTGGAAGTTCGTACAGCGCGTGCAGCTACCCTCGCTCCTGGTGCAGCAGGCGCCACCGCCAGCGAGGACATGGACATCGGATCGGCATTCGGCGGGTTGCATGGAGTTGCGGCATCGGCTCCCATGGCAGTCAGCGCAGGCAACCCCGTCACGCCCTGCAGGACATCGAGATGCACCTCACGGAGCTGCAGCAGGAATTCGCGCGCACAAGCGGGCGGCGTCTTGATCACCTTCCAACCCTGGACCTGCTCACGTTCCTGGGCCAGGTGGCCCAGCACCAGGCACCCCCTACAGCGAGGACTGATTCCCAGCATCAGAGGTCCATCGTGAGTGGGCTCCAGCAGCAGCAAGCGCGGACAACGAAATGGCAGCGGCGCTCACAACAGGGCAGCAGGCACCTGGCCCGCCAGCATCGTCAACGTGAGGAGCTCATCTGTTCGTTTCAATACGTCTCGGCTCGTGCCTGGGGCGGTCCCCGGTTTTGACTCCGCCTCTGAGCACAGCAGGCGGCCGACCGTGCAGGATGCGGCTCAGTCTACTAGAACCAACCGCAGGGCAGTGCGGCACCACGGAGGTGATGACCTGCTTCCTGGACACCATCGGCTACCGGCAGTTGGAAGTACCCACGGGGATTCAGGCCCCCCTGTTGCGTTTGGTGATATCTCTGGCGGTGCGTACTAAGCCCTAGCGCTGCTAGGCTCAGCGTCGCCCTTGATTTGCCTCAAATGCAGTCAGACGCATTTGGGCTTCGTGACCAGCCAGTCGGAGATTGCATCTTCAGTCCCAGCTCTGCTGGGCTCAGCGTCGCCACTGTGTTGCCAGGCTCGTCACATGCTGGAGATTGCGCTACTACCCCAAATGAGCGTGGGGGCGCCAGTCTAAGCCCCGATCCTGTCGGGCTCAGTGTCGCCCGCGTTTTGCCGGCATCGTCAGAGCATTGAGGTGTTGAGCATCAGAATGAAGCATTGTGCTGCTCGACCTCTCCCCGACCTTGGCGGCGCGCCCGCAAGGCAGGCTGGCGGAAGCCCATGATACTTGTAACTTTTAATGGTAGCTTCTGGCCTCAGCTGCACCGTTTCTTGGATCAGCATCGGGACCTCTTGGTGGTTATGGTTCAGAAGAACAAGCTGTCTGGAGATGCATTGGCCAGGGCTGAGGAATGGTCAGTCAAGCGAGGGAGGGAGCCTTTCCTTGCATCTGCGAAGCCTGGTGATGGCGCCACGTTCAAAACAGGCACTGGCATCTTTGTGCGGAAACAGATTGAGGTCACGGTCCTCAGCGGATACCTGCCATCTCATGCCATGGTCAATGTTTATGCAAATGCTGTTGACTAATGCATTACCTCGCCACGGGCTTCTTGCTGTCAATGTACCTCGAGCCAGCGGACAAGCTTGGAGGCAATAACATTGTGAAGCTGCGCACGTTGGGCACGCTCCTGGCATATTACCGCGTTCCCGTCTTGGTTGGTGGTGATTGGAATGTGGGCCCGTCGACGTTGGTATCATCTGGCATTCGTGATCGGCTCTCCCCTCGCTTGGTTGCCAGAGTCCATAGGACCTACCGTGATCCCACGTCAGGTAAGCACACGAACCTTGACTATTGGATGGGCAGTGACTGTCTTGCGAAGGTCACTGGCGTGCCTCAACGTGTCGCTGCCGCATCCCCTCGCAATCATCATGCGATTGAAGAAACAGTGGGACTGAGGCCTAGAGCTTTGAATGTGATGACGCTGCATGTCCCACACATGTTCCCGATTCGGCCTACTTGTGCTGCGCAGGACGGCGTGGAGGACGGCAACGGCGAGGTCAACTTCGACGTGGAGCGTGGCGTCCCAGAATTCTCCTGGACTGATGCCATGAATCATGGTGTTGCAAGTCAGCCTGGTGATAGTGGGCTTCATCGTGAGCGACTTGATCACACATGTGGCAAACTCGATCAGGATGTTGAAGCTGAACGGATGCCCTTTTCCTCGATTGACGCAGCCCATGTTGCTGACTTTCGAAGCGGCAAGCAGCGGGGACATCATTTTCACGAGCACTTCGCACGCTACATCTTCGGGTGTATGATGCGCAGCTTCGTCGGCTCCATAGGAGCGCGGAGTGCATGCTGCATGGCATGTTCTCTATCATTCTGAATCGGGACGGGGACGTGAAGGTAGGTTACGTGCGTACATACCTCATGAAGTCTGCGTTGACATTGTGTGCCTGCTGGAAAGCACACGCGCACGCTCGTGCCAGCATGATGCGTAGATGCGACGACTCGTGGATGGCTGTCTAGGACGGCTGGCCGAGATGGAGGAGCGCAGGCTTGGACAATCGGGCTCCAAGTCTTTCGCATCCTGGCTGAAGCAGACGGTCGGGGCTCAGCCGCGCGTGATCCACTGGTGGTCCGAACCCAGAAGGCGGACCGTTTCGCAACTTGATGCCTCCCTGGGGCCCTCTAGTTCGGCCGGTGGTGACACCGCGGAAGCTCAGCGCGGGTCCTGGGCCGACGCTGGAGAAGGTCATGATAAAGCTCCTGGCACCCTGGGGTAGTGCCCATGGAGATGTGTAGCAGGTGTAGCACTTGTGAACTCATGGACTTGTGTAGCACTTGCAGGGGGAGCTATGTGAAGAGGTGTAGCACTTGTGTACTCATGGACATCGGCTGCCTCCACTCAGTATCATAGAGCTGCGTCGAGCAGCTCAGCAGTTCCCCCGTCGCACGGCGGTCGGTGCAGATCGCTTCAGACCACGGCAGTGGTCGCTGGCTTCGAATGTGGCCTTGTCAGTGCTTGGCTACTTCCTGTACGTATGTGACGTGTTTGGCTCATGGCCAAAGTTGCTGGCAAATGTTCACATCGTATTGCTCGCCAAATCCAGTGGGGTAAAAGCCCCTAACCCTCCTGCCGTTCATCTACCGTATCTGGGCCAAAACTAGAGTGTCTTTAGTACGTAATTGGGCTTCCAAGCTACGCAGTCCTTGCATCGCACTGGGAACTCATAAGTCGACCGCTGACGTCACTACTCGAGTGGTCGTTGAAGTGGAGGAGGGAGGCTGCGAAGGCCCAGACTCTTCGGCATGTATCCACGCTGTAGTGGAGGTTTGGGAAATGTTTCGACAAGGATGCTTGAAAGCTACGTCGG